CTGCACTTACATGTCTTCCATGGCTCCATATGCTGGTAGGCAAGTCCTTCCTCAACAACCTGTCTCCCTCCAGATGCATTTGGACCACCTGGTCACACTTGTTCTCCAATTGTTCTACCGACCGAAAAGGTGATGGCAGTGCCCTGCTATCATACAATCCGAGTTTTCTCCCTGTCTCATGTCTGACACCTTATCTCTTCTATCATCTGTTTAATCACTTCTTTATTAAGAGATTTTGTTTGAAAGATCTAAAGTAGTTCTGTATCCTGATTGAATATTTTCCTAACTTTGTTGAAATGAGAATGCACAACAATAGAGGTATTCATGAAACCACTACTTCAGAATTATAAAATCAGAGAGAAGGATAATTCTTTCTCCTTCTCTCCCTTCCTTTTCCAAAGAGGACACAGGATGATGTTTTCACATAGATGTTTTCACACTGATTCATAAGTAAAACAGGCTAACTATATGTGATGATATATATGTGAGTTTGGAGCCTGGAGAAAAAAGCAAACCCTGTAGCAACACTCGTGCCCCTGCCTCCTATCTGGCAGGAAATGGAGCCTCATCATTGGGGAGTGTGCAGAGGAAGACATGAGAGCTGGATGGGAAGGGAAATCCAGCACTGGTAAAGCATACTGTGCTTCAACCTCAAAGTCCATAACTGCTCCATTACTTAGCACGGCTAGTCGTGCATCCTGATCAGCCTTGTTGACTGTTGTGCTCAAATGGCCATGACAGAGGAGTTTCCTACCCACTAACAGACATCCACAGCCAACCTCCAGATATCTATTAAAACAGAATACAGTGATTGGGTTTTGATCATGACAGAGCACTGAACATATCCAGTGATGAACCTGAGACAGTTTTATAACCTAATCTAGTTCCTAATGCATGACTATGAATTCTCGACTAAAAATCACTTTTAAGAAAAAAAAAAATTAACACAAAAATGAAAGACAAGGCTGAAGGTAGACTAAAGAAAAATACAAAAAAATTCAGGGAGCAGGAAATCTTTTAAAAAGTCTAGTTATCAGAATGGGATGTAGCTCCCTGTGGAGCACATTAGCATGCACAAAGCTCTAGGTTTAATCCACAACACTGCAGTCTAATTGCTGCATCCAATACAGCTTGCATACTTCCCAGGATGATGACAATAAAGGGCGATGAGAAGGTGAAGAAATAAAGCTGAGACACAGAAAGCTGGGATCAGGAGGAGCCCTCTCTGGAGGGGAAGAAAGGGACTGCTCAATGCAGTGCTTCCACAGTCAGCTCCCAGAAAAAGAGCATTAATTGGGAGAACAAAAAATAAGTTCTGGAAATGAGTTATACCAATTTTCAAAATAAAAACAATTTCAATAGAGTAACACGAATACATGGGATAAAGACAATTTCTAAGCAGGCTACTGGAAGGCAAACTTGAAAGGGTATATCAGAATGCAAAATTGGAAATATGATGGAAAAATAGGTTTAGGAAAGACTCGTTTATGAAGTCAAAATTTAACTATTATGTGCTCCAGTGTGAGTGGAAGTAATAAAGGATTCACACAAATATTAGGAAAAAACTCCCTGAAGTAAAACTGCATACACAGCTTAATCTCAAGTTTTATGTGTTATAAAAGAGACAAAATACAAAAGCAAGTAAGTAATAGCTTAATCTACATTCTGCTAAAATTTGACAATGCTTGAAAGAAAAGAAAAACAGCTAAAATGAAAAGAAAAATGAACACAGTAAACTGTAAGTTATACGGAAGCACCAAGATTTAACGCTTTCTGGATTCCAAAAGAATATTAGAATACATGAAAATTCTTACAGAATTCAACGAAATACAGTTGTCTCTTTCAAGTTTTTCTACATATATTAAAGACAAAAGAAGACAGAGAAGCTGGCGATGGAGAGGATGTAAGATTTCTTTAGAGAAAGGCCTCTGATGAGTTACATTCCCTCAAAGCTTGAGGAGACAAAATAGTCTAAAACCAGCATGAGGGCCTCCACAAGACCCCTCCAGGGAGCCCAATGCTTGATCTTTGTAGCTGGAAAGCACAGCACGTGTCAGTGCCAGTTTGTGGTTTGTAATAGCAAGTAAAGAGCTTACTCAGGAGGACAATGTGCACTTCCCTTCTAACCATGGATCTGGGTATAGGAACATGGTACCTGGAGAAACATTAGCCTAATGTCATTTCCAAAATATCCAGGATAGTAGTCTGACAGAGAAAAAAACAACCAGGTAGGAAAGAAGCTAGGAGGTAAAAACTAATGAGCATATGGAGGGATGACCCACTACTGCTCCAGGAAAGGGACCCCTTCAGCGGAGCTGGCAGGGAGCATGAAAAACTCGGGACAGTGTTCACTGCAGCAATAACATTTGGTATCTGGCTATCAAAGAACAGTAAGCCATCACAAGGCACTCAAGACAAATAATAACTCTTCTAGAAATGGGAATTAGAAGATGCGGGAGGAGGAGAGGAATCAAAAAGGAAACAAGCTGCAGGAAGAACAAAATGACTGTAAACTGCATGTACAGCAAAAATGTTTTTAATTTTTTTAAAAGTTAAAAATAACCTCTTCCCTTAAATTTCCTCCTTCTCCTGCCAGTGAAACTAGAGAAAATAAAAATGAAAGGACCACCATTGCCATCACTATTTTCTCATGCAAATATGCAGCCCAAAGAAGGTTCTAACTAAAGAGTCAGAGAAAATGTACTTCATATCAAATGTGGGGCTTTGATATTGTATAAAGCTGGAAATATTTAATCACTAATATGGGACTATTCTGCAAAGTAAATGAGCAAAGACTTAACTAATGATTCTGAGAAAGCCTGAAACGAATTTTCATTTAAAAGGAAGGTTTAGCTGCCTTCACTGAGCAACATTAAAGTTCAGCAAGTCATATAAATACAATTGCTTATATGATTATATGTTGTTTTCCTACTTGTTCAAAATACTAGTATATCGGTAGGTTATATGGCATGTAACAGTTTATACTTCTCTACCAAACAACAACAATCAGACATTAGTAAGTACTGTAAGACAGTAAGACAGTGCTATCAAAATTCTGGTGAAAATCAATTTAAATCTAGAATTCTATAATCAGTCAAATAGTAACTCACTGTAAGGGAAAAACAAGAACATTTCAAATGTGCACACTCTGAGATAATTTCTCTCATGGGTTACTTATGAAAATTACTAGGGCTGGAGATTTAGCTCAGCGGCATAAGTACCTGCCTTGCAAGCAGGCAGTCGTGAGTTCGATCCCCGGTACCAATAAAAAGGAAACAGACAAAAAAAAAAAATTACTCAAAGAGGTACTTCAGAAAAATTAAAACAAAAAGCAACTCATAAAAGTTGCTTCTCACAAAGTGAGAAGTATCAAGAGCAGTGAGTTAAATTAAGCAAGGGTGAAAGCATGCTATTTCTAAAAAAGAAGTCTCTGGTCCCACACATTTTTTATATTCCCTTCTCTAAATGTCTAGTTACACATTAAATCATATTTTCTCAAGGATGCATTTAAATGTTGCTCTATGAATTGACTTTTAATACCCATTTACAAAACACAGAAAATAGTCTTGAAATTATAGAAAAACGTAAATGCTATCCAGAATGATAATATGCATACTAATATAGCACAAGGCAGTGAAGTACTCTAAAATGCCTATTTCCACAGGGAAATCAATATGTATCTTCTAAAATGAGGAATGAAAAAACAGAAATTGAATTAAGTCATTTATTTCAATAATAACTTCAAGAAAACTAATACTGGTAAAAATGACTACTTAATAAGAATGAGAATAATTCACTTTATTTTACACTTTTTAAGGCTTTGATTATCATGCAGGATAATTCACATAAAGCTTTATAAGCCATAAACACTTCATGATTAAGTCCACAAGACATTTCTAAACATGATCGATAATCTTTAAGAGAACACTTATCTGATCAAAGAAAAATGGTCTTAGTGACAATCACCACCAATACCAAAACTTCTGATATACTTCTACCTTAAATACCATAATCCACAAATTAATAGTAATATTCGAGATATCATAAAATACTAACCTGAAAAATCACAAAAAACAGGCTATTATATCAAACTCTTAGTATAACCTAAAAGGGCTTATTATTTACTTTATTCGAATATTTTATATAATATCTGATTCCAGTGCATACCTTACAGGGGAAAATTTGATTTTGATAATATCAAACTAAATGCTACAATTTGGATTTATAAAAAACTTATGGAATTATTATTTCTACTAAAATAAGCTACTATAATTATTAATATTTTTATTTTGAAATAAATGCCAGATGCTAAAGAACTCTCATAATAATTACATCAGAAAATTAATTACCTCAGCTAGAATTGTATTTAATTTACATAATAAGAAGTGAAGCCTCTCCCTGGTTTTATGTAATTTTCTTTCTTTATCATCTTTGACTAGACATTTTTTAATACCACTATCAAAGAACTCACAACCAATCTGATTGCAAAGTATAGTCAGAGACAGACAACCTTTTAGAGCTTTCCATGATAGCAAACACTGCGGCACGTGTGTGATAGGTTCACCATGACCGGTATAGGTACTCAGCATGCACGCAAATGCCAAGTGGAGTATAATTCATCCCGAGGTATTTTTAAAGACTAAGCAGAGTCAGAAATTATACTACGGAAAATTAGCAGGAGATGATCTGGGTTTCAAATCTTTCTGACAAAGGAAATTTTAAGCAGAAAAGTGGGAAGTTTGCTAATCTAACCATGACTATGTTTGGGTACAAGGCACAAACATTCTCTGAGCTGTTCCTGCCAGTAATAAGCACATGCACCTGAGTCAGTTAATTACCGGTACTATCTGCGTGTTCCATTTTTCTTCTATAAATCAAGGACTTATAATATACAATAAATTCCTTTTCCTGTTTAAAAATACCTGACATTATATGAGCACATGGATCTAAAGATCTGAGAGCTAAGTACGAATTAAAGGAAACATGAATGAATACCATACCTTTATCGAGTCTTTTTTCTTTGTTTTACATTTGTTTTGTTCCCTGGCTTCACGAAGAGCTTTCTGAGTTGGGCCTTCTGGAGCATTTTCTTTTTCACAAATGTGACGAACTACAAAATAAGTCAATTTATTAATATTTATAATAATTGTATATAAATATATATTTATATAAGTGTAAAAACATGATCATAGCCAAAAAATATGCAAACCAAGGTTTCATTAAAGTATGCTTTTTAAAGTATTAAAATAATTACAATTATACCAAAGCAAAATGGTTTCAGTGGGATCTCAAAAGTGCAGTTGCGAAAATGTACAGTAACACTCCTGTAAGGTTAATGAAATGTAGTAAGCCAGTTAGTTACAAGACAGAGAACCCAGTCCTCAATCATATCGTATACAAATCCCTGTCCTCATAAAGCTTTATATGTTCATAAACAAAGTTGAATGCCAAAGTCAAGAATTAGAAGTTATAAAAGTTCTCAAATTGAACTGAGATTTTGAAAAACAGAATATTATATTGATACAAGTTTTGCTTTTTGCTGGTCAGAAGAACAGAAAGGGGAAAAAAACACAAGGTAATATTCTAATATTGTGCACTGCTGGTCTCGTCACTCTCCTGGACATGACCAAGACTAGTAAAATCAAGTGGGGGTAGACAAAAAAAAGTATCCTACTCTATTATACCTTCCATAAACATATACAAATATATATATATATATATATATATATATATATATGTATGTTTCCATATACATACATAGGTATATGTATGTACCTTTTCATAAACACTTATATGGACACAATTTCTACCTATATTTCTTCTTTTAAATTAAGCTTATTGGTACATTTTAGGTATACATAACGATCACATTCATTATAAGGAATTCATACATATTAGTTTCATTGTTTTCCCCATTCCTTTACTCTTTCAACCTCTCGCCCCTTCCTTATTTACAAAAGCTTTGTTTCCACTTACTCCTTTTTTCTCTTCCCTTCCTCCCTTTCCACTTCCTCCCACCCTAGTTCCCATCCCTATTTGAATATTTTCTTCCTATATCTCAATATCTATTATATTGATGAATGAGTAAAAATGATGTGTTTTATACAACAGAGTATTACTCTGCCATAAAGAAGGACAAGCTTGAGACATTTTCAGCTAATGATGCACCTTGAGGCCATTCTCTTAAGTGAAATAAATCAGACACACACATATAAATACGAATTGTTTCTCTGGTGTGAGAAACCTAAAGCGTAAGGACCAAAATGCATAATAAATATTTTGAAATACAGAAACAATGTTCTACCTGAATTTCTAAATAACAAGTTGATTTAAAATAACTAATAAGGTTATATTTATTGACACAGAAGAGGAACCTCTCAGTGGTATAAATTGGCACACTAGATTCATAATAAATAAATAATGAACGCAAAAATGTCTGAGCTCTCTTAAAGAACCCTGGGATCATAAGGGCAAGGGGGCACATGGCTGGCATTTGGTTCCTTTCCTGATTTAATTTGTTTTCTTCAGCAGCAGTTCTAGAGAAACGAGAAAAATTCTCATAATAATCTCCATGAGAAGCAAAATGTTCTATGGCTCAGTGCCACATTACACTACTAGAAAGATGAGCATACACCAACTAGCTGTTCTTCAATGGTGCTACGATCCAGCGCCCCACAGCATACAAGCCAAGCTGTCAGAAAAGGTTAGTAGCTGCAGCTCGTTGAAATATAAAGACAATTGCTTTTTACTTCTAATTCTCTTTTATCGTATTTGCTTCTTGAAAGACCAAGTGTGTTAACATCATAATGAAACAATGAAAAGTAATAATTAGCATCTATACCTCACTGACCTTCTACTGCAAAACATCCTGTTTTATACAATTTACACAGATTTCGTCATGCAGCGATGTCAATTATCCTGCAAAGCCCACTGTTTTGGGTTCCCTTTATTTATGAAAGGGGGACATTACATAGTAACACACACAGGAAAATAAGTAAAAAAGCAGCAAAGAAAGAAACCCTGAAGTCGAACAGCTAACTCCAGGCATGTAAGATTTCATGTAACATTGCCAAGTACAATTTCACAAAAGAAAATTTTAAAGGCAAGAAACAAATAAATTCAAGCGCAACAAATGAAGGTGGAAAATCCACACAGATTTGGCTTCTGAATACACACTGTAACTCCATAAGCAAAATGAAATTACAAAAACACATTTTAAAAATTTTAAGAAAATCTTCAATACTTTTGACCACTTTGAGTAAAAGTTATAGAAATTACATCGAGCGAGCAGAGATATAATGGCTCTCAATTACATTGGTAAAAATAAACACGACTTCCACTCTCCTTCAGATAAATATCATTTTACTTATACAAAGATTTATATAGCAAATGAGAAATTCATACATTAAAGTCTGTGCTACTTTCAAAGTTAAGTAATGTAATTATCAAATTCTGCACAGCACTTTCCAGTGTTTACCAAAAACCTAGTGAAGTTCATATCTTCCTCACAGAATCACCATGTTCATCATCTAACACTTGTTAAGGACAAGGCCTGAAATACTCCTGCTATGCAACTTCCCAATCATATGTATATTGATTGATCCACAATATTTATACTGAACACACATTTTCATTTACAGAAATGTTATTCCTTATAACTTCTAATTGCTATATTTCACCTAATCATTCATGCATATGCATACTCAATCAAATTAAGTGAATATGCTCAGGTCCCTGAATAAACATAGGAAATAAATGTACACCTTCATTTAATAATACTTATTAGGTGTCTACTTTTGCCAATGACTAACTCCCTTGGAGATTAAATATATTTGTAAAGAGGATTATTTAACTGAAAAAAAAAAGCTTTTAAAAAAACTTAAACTAGAAGGATAAATAAAAAATAAAAGATCTCACGTGTAACCTAAAATTAGGAAACTAAGCATATATTTAACCAGAAATTGGGGGAAAATAAAGTTAAAGGGGAAGATATTTGGGTAGATGATAACCTCATAGTTACATAAATTTTATATGCATGACATAACATGGGCTAAGATTAACAATAATAACCAGAATGAAAACTGGGATGGGGGAACTGGAGGAGGCAGGAGGCAGCAGCCCGAGGCAGGAAGGGAATTAGAAGAGGAAACACGTTGTAGTCCCTATATGTACCCACTCCCCAAGATGACCTAAGCTCTATGTAAGGCAAAGATGTACCAATGCATCTTTTTAAAAGTTAAAAAAGTTGGCAACTCATACTATAATTCTGAGCAGCAACATAGTCTAAACTTTAAAAGCAGCCACTAATTAAAATAGATGAAGTAAGGAGTAGTCTGGTCAACTATATATGCATAATGAGAGGCCCTGTACTCTATGTTACTATAGGAATACTAACCTACATTGTTTTACTACATAAGACATCTATTTTCTATGCAAAGCTCTAAAGTAAACTTTCACAGTTCTTTATCATTTCCAGTTTCTACTTAAGCATCTTGAATTCCTAACTTCCTAAATAACTCATGATTTTTAAAAATATTACATATGGAAAAGATTATATAAGTAAAGCATTTTTGTATTCAAATGCAACTGTATAGCAATCAAAGCAGTAAAAATTAAACACAAACATAACAATCAAGATGAGTATATTTCAGAAACATTTTAAACAAAGCAATTTGAAAGATATATATATAAAGCTAAAGTTTTCTGTGCAGTATCATAGAAATATTGATACATATTATCATTAATAACAATAAAGCAAAGAATGTTTATTTATTTTTATATTTTTATTAAAATTTTGATTTTTAAAATTGTATCCACATTACTTATTCATTTTAAATGTCTAGAAATGTTGATCACTGATAAAAGTCTGAGAAATCATAAGACCAATATCAGTATTAAATTAGAGGTTCATTAAATATTATTTTTACCTTTAATTTCAGGAACATGAGAAGTAAGTCCTGTTTCTACGTCCCTTGACATTTCATGCATTCCAGAAATCTAAAAAAATTCAAAGCTACAATGTTAGACACTAAATAAGTGTTAAAATGTTAAATAAAATGTAATATTTAAAACTTGAACCACTGCAAATAGGAAAAATTTAAGCTTTCTTTAATTAACATCTGTAAAATTAACAAATCAAACATGAACTTTAACAAAAGGAAAACATACTTTTTGTTAAATTCCAGAATCAATTATTAATTATATTAAGCATCTGAAACATTTCTTTCACAGCAGTTTCCTGAATCAAGTATACTCACGAACATAATTTGATAATTATTCAATTCTCTGAGAATTTTCCTGTTTCAATTGTTTCATCTTTATATCTATAAGCTATCTTTTACATTTATAAATTATAAAGTAAATACTTGGAAAGTTAAATATAAAGAGTTTTATCTGCAAAGCTATCCATAGATACTCCCTGTTTTACTAAATATATCCCACAATTAAGAACATTTGTTACCTGGCTGGCATACCATTTACTTTTGTACTGAACAAAAGACTTAAATTTAAAATTCAACATTAAAAAGCTACCTCATACCTCACTATATATGACTGCTCAGACCCAAAGTACCATCTGTTTAACTGCACACAGATGTGACATTTTTCTAATAGCAATATTTTATATTAATAGAAAATAACAATGTATAATAAATAAAATAATGCTAATGAAATGCCTGAGTTAAAAAATATTCCTAGGAGCTAAATTAATCACACTGTTTGAATAAACCTATTTAGAATGGCACTAAGATTCAGCAAATAGTTGTTAATAAAGTACTGACAGCTCTGGTGAGCCCCACTGACTGTTACTAACATCACATTTTAAACTACTACATTTGTCACGAGAACCACGTTAAGACATTATTATGAACCAAAGTCCAGTTTGGTCTAGACTTAGTTAATTTTTCTATATTACCCGTTGTAGTCAAGGGTTGTGAGGAGAATAATTAGAATAATTAGGACACAGAATTTATATTATCATTTTATGATGGTTACCCAGAGTTAACACAAGAAAGTACAGGAAATCTATCCACAACACTAAAGACACAGAATATTCAGCCAAGGATCTGAATACCACAGGAATGTCCTGCATGAGTCCAGATAAAACCTAGAGCCGTGATAATACCTCCCATGAGTCCAACTGTAGGTCTAGAGCCCACATGAAGGATTCATACCAGTCTGCTTTATGGATCTGTCCTGGAAGGCCCAAGGTCAGTGGTGGAAGCTAGAAAGTCTATGCCAGTGAGGTGAAGGAGCTGGTAGGTTGAGGGATCTGCACCGCAGCCAAAAAGTCACACTCGAAATAAGGACCAGGGCTGTCCTGAAAAGTACCACAGCCATCCTAAGCAACACAGAGGTCCTGAGCTCTTCAGGTGATAAGATACTTAGCAGGGGAATAAGTGGGTGTTGTAGTCAGGGGCTGTGCAGAAAACAATTAAAATCAGGACATGGAGTTTATAGTATTATTTATGATGGTCACCCAGAGTTAACACAAGAAAGTGCAGGAAATAGATCCACAACACCAAAGACATAGAATATTCTAAGGGCCTGAATTCCACAGCAATGTCCTGCATGAGTCCAGATGAAGACTCAGAGCTCATGACAATGCCTCCCGTAAGTCCAACTGGAGGTCTAGAGCCCACAAGAAGAACAGTTGAGTACGTGCCAGAAAGTCAGCATGATGAGTTTGTCCTGGAGGTTAAATGGCACAAGTCTTCCCCTCTGGAGCCAGGAAGCGATGCTCGATGTAAGAACCAGTTTCCCCAAAGAGAACCACAGCCACTCTCACCAACAAGGTCCCAAGCTCCGCTAATGACAATGGTTGAACTCACACTGGGGAGGTCATGTTGGGGTCCTCTAGGAAAACCAATGGCTCAACAGCAACCCTTAGAGAAACCCACAATGCCAATGCCTCGCTTCTCCTCCACATCTGTATTTACGCTGGCAACTTTCCTCAAGTGGAACATCTATGCTTAGCACCATGCTGATTTAATCCAGCTAGTGTTAAATTGACCACCAGTTTTTAATCTATAATATTACTCTTTTTAAGTTCCAGGAGCCCCAGCCAGATACCACCTTACATTTGGTCACTATGTACCATTCATCTGTTGTGGACAGTTTCTTCCCCCAATTTTAATGGCCTTGAATATTTAAAGAGGTGCTAGGCAAATGATATTTTTGAAGACAGCCCTAAATTTGAGTTTGAGCAACATATTTCCCATAATTAAAGTGGAGTCATGGGATTTGGTGGGTGGGAGACAATAGAGAATGCCACAGTCATCTCACCAGTGCGCTCTGCCAATGGGACTCAAAACCAATAATGCTAACCTGCATTGCAGGCAAAGTTAGTGTGGCAGGTTTCCCCACTAAAAAGTTACTTTCTCCCTCTATCCACTAAATTTTTGGAAGCAAATCTTTGGGTACACCCAACAATGAACAGCTGAGTTATTAAGTTCCATACCTTGAAGGGACGAAGAATTTTTCCATACAGGTTATCTGGAATTTTATATGAGATTTGTCTATTCTCACACATTTCTTTACTCAGTTATATTTTATACTATTATGTAATGATAGACATTTACTTTATACTTCAAGTTATAATGCAATACTACGTTCACTGGTTGCTCAAATTGTTAACAGCTTTCAACACTGGAAATTGTCAGACAGGATCACTGTAATGAAGACCCTAACTTCAATTTTTGATGTTTAATGGACAGCTTTCAGGCCCTGACCTAAGGACACACAGGTGCTCTCCCTTTGGCCCTGAAAGGCTATTCAGACCAGGAAACAGCCTCCCTTCACATGAGAATTCTAAGCCCACCCATAACCCCCAACCCCAGTAAGAACCCCCAGCCTGTCTGCTCTCTCAGGAATTTCAGAATAGTTTAAAGATATAATTCTCTCTCAGACAACTCATTTATTTAAATCATAAAAATATTCACACTGTACGTGTTTCTTAATGGTACCATCATTCTCAATATCTGTTATGGCTTGTGTCTAGATGTCCCCCCAGAGCCTCATGTGGTCATGGGTGGGGCTTTCTCAGTGGTAGCTGGGGCTGGGGATGTAGCTCAGTGGCACACAGTGTCTGCCTGGCAAGCATGAAGTGATGAGTTTGATTCCCAGTAGTACTAAAAATAAAAATAAAAAAAAGAAAAGAAAAGAAAAGGTGGATCTAGAGAAGGTGATGCTTGGACCAAGAACGTGTGGTTATTAAGTTGCTCCACTGACTGATTTGGCACAGTTCTGAATAGGATTAAGGCTGCCTCATGAGTGGTACTCTAAGGGCAGGTAGCCTTGATAAAATATAAGGGACAGAAGGAGGGCTGGTCTTGTCACTTGTAGCTCACTGCCTTGCTTACTTCTGCCTCTGCCTGCTGTGAACTAGTTTCCTCTGCCATTCCACCCTGCCTCAGAGCCAGCCAAGCCTGAAATCTCTACAAACTGTGAGCCAAATGAATCTTTACTCTTAATTTTGGGTGCTAGTATTTTGTCCCAGAAAACAGTAAAGAAACTAAGATAACAACCAAAGAAACTTTGGATGAGGATCCAGTTTACCCCACAGTTGCCCACCATAATCCTTCTATTGTTACATGGATTCCACTGTTTTCTTGAGGACCTTTCTTCCTTGATTTGCCCACTTTTTAAGCATTGCCTTTCTAGTACCACGAAATGCTCTACATGTTTCAGGATCATCTTCTATTTTCCTGCCTAGACTTAAAATGAGCTACTTTTCGAGGCACCCTGGTTTCTTTCCTCTACTGTTGATATTAGAAACCAAGCTCTGAGTCGAGAGATGCCATTGCTGCTGAACTACCATTACTTTAAACCTTCTTGGCAAACACACCTCAAAACTATGTATATTTACTTTGCATTAGCATCTCATGACAAAGAAACATAGTATAATTTATTCTATATATATGCTAATATGAGAACTTAATTATTTTGGGGTCATAGAGCTCTAATTCAAGATTTTAAAGAATATTCTCAGTGAGTTGAAAAATAAAACAAAGCTACAGATTTTTCTTTAAATTTTAAACATAAATATTCTCACTATTAACTACTAAATGAATATGAAAACACATACTACTAGATTTTTGTCATAGTACACTTTCATTCACTTACATGTAAAGTATCATTAAAAACTGCTAAATTTTAACCCTTCTGGGGCAAGGGATATATTTAAAGTAAATCAAAAGAAGCTAATTAAGATTTAGTCTGTAATAAAGTGATTATCAGGAATTAAACTAAAAACATGAGGTACTTCTTTTTCTTGGCTCACACCTTAAAAGTCTGGTTAAAATTAAACTCTGAAAATAACTGCATTGAACACTAAAATAAAGACACTTTAAAATAAGCATAAAAATGGATTTATCCTTTGGGAATCAGAGAAAATCTGCATATATTTTAATATATTTTAAATGTATGAATATTTTGAATAAATACATTCTGTGGCTTCATGACACACTAATAGGTTCAAGTTAAAAAGCCAGTCCATATGCTTGCACACCCAATGTACACCCATAAAGTATGCTTCAACGGAAAAAAGCAAATTGAGTTGTAATAAATCACTTTGTATTAAAGCGCACAGACAGGTTCGGTTCATTATGTGGTAACCATGGTTAGTCCTCAAAGAACACACTTAGAAAGGTGATACAATCAAACATATTTTTCTCCTTACTGGAGAATAAAATAATTGATCCTAGGGTTAGAATTCTATAAATTTATTTTGGTCACTTAGCAAATTATGATTTTGGTATGGATAGCAGATGCTTACAGTCTTTCCTGTAACCAGGACACTGACAGTATGATATAACATCATGCGTACCCGTGCTGGATTTTGAACAGAATTTACCATGAGAATAGTGGCTGCCACATCAATTTCCACTGACACTTGCAAGGTAATTCTAAAAGACTTTCAGGTAACCAGCATGAGACAGTGAATATCCACAGTGAAGCCAATGATGGCAGCCAATAGCAGGTGGCATCTTCTGTTTAAATCCATTTTCTTCAGTTGTGAGGCTGCCACACAAAGTATCAAATATCCTAACCTTCCTGCTTCAGATATTAAGAAACATGCTCTTTATACACATTTTCTATTAGTAAGTCTATTCCAAACTTGAATTTTTTAGGATACAGTGAAAGCCAAAAAAAAATTACTCTGTGAAGTAGTATAAGTGGGGACTGGAATAAAAGGGGTTATAAACTTATCTATACTGTAAAAGAGCAACTATCCTGTCCAATACTTCAAAGAAATGCACAGGATTCTATACCTGAAAAAAGAGATATGTGGTCAAACATGAAAATGCTGGTTTGCCTCTCAAGCTAAAAATCCAATTTGAAAGCAAATGACAAATACAAAGAGATACTTCAGGGATACTTCAAGTAGAGTATACTTGCTTTTACTTTCTCAAGAGAGAGTCTAGAAATATCAACAATCTAAATGGCCCTTCACATTTTTCGTTGGGCTGGGAAACCATACCGTCCTCCACATGGTTTTGAAACTTGACTGAAAGGAGTGTATCCATGCAAATAAACATTAACCACTTCCTTAATCACCTATGTCTTGAATTTCAGAAACCTTAACAACACTGGACCACTTTAAAAAAAAAAAAAAAAAAGAAGCACTGAATTCAACAATTAGATTACTGATATTAGGATGCTCAAGGTTGCATGCAAAAGACCAGGCATTTAGCAAAGCTGTGCTGGTTTGCACTCAGAGGAACCACTCAGAACCACACAACTCAGTACCAGGAATCTGATCGAGCTGATCACACTGCATGGGAAAGTGAAGACAGGGAATACATGGAGTGTTCAGGCCATATGGATATATGTTTCCATTTCAAACATATTTTCACTTTAACTCTATACCAATTGTCAATCAAGTAATTTATCGCTGTGTGTATAAATAACCTTAATACTCACAATGCTACTTTACAGGACAATAGATATTCACACCCACCATGCTTAATCCTTAATTCTTTCTACTAAACCAGTGTGGAACAATCTTTGTTTTGTTTTTTTTTTTTTTTTTTTTTTTTTTTATTTAAGGAGAAAAGAAAGAAAAAAAAAAGTGGAAGGGTACAAGTTATACAGATTTACAGAAGAAAAGAATGAACAGTAGGAAATCACTAGTTAATGGATTACATATTGCCATCTTAGAAATAATTGTTCAAGTCACAAAATTAAAGCTTGTAGAGTGGACATTCCAACAATGATACTGCAAACAGTTTTGTTCAATGATCCAATAAAACTCTGTGATATCATTTTCTATCTTATACACTTAAATATACATGCAGTTATATAGTTTAGAGTACTTTTCCTCTCTTTTGTACAATGACTATTACACATTTTGGGTTTCATTGCTCCCACGGTTCTTATTGCTTTTTTGGAAGAGAGTAAAACCAAATGAGACATAACAGAACAGAATCGGTCAAGTCAAAAGGGTGGACATAATAGATAATATAAAAACATAATACAAGGTGATCAACAATGGTTACCATAATGCCTCCCGCTATCCCTAATAGAATTGCCTATATCATTAGTTATAATACAATTGAACAAAATAGTAAAGAACAAAACCGACAAAACCAAAACATTGGAGACATTGTAGGTCTTCAAAAGTAGATAAAAGTCAACGAGAATGGGCATTATAATGAATCTCATTATCTTCTCAGCTGATGCCTAAACTTTCGAACCTGATACTATCCATCAAAACAGAATAGGGGAACATCAGTCAAAAACAAGATGGTGAGAGTAATACAGGGCTTCAAATCGAGATAATAGAAAGTCAAAGTGGGTTACTATATTATATCCTGCTATTTTTTTCCCTTTAATTAAACGGATAAAAATGAAAAAGTAAATAATGGAGTGGAGATTGAGAAAAAAGAGGGCATAACAGCAAAACAGCGCAGATCAAAGCATAACCATTTAAGCAGAATAGTGTTTCACCACCAGATAATGGAACAATCTTAAACACAAAGATTGTATGTGGCCTACAAACATTCTCATCATGGCCTTGGATTAACCTGAGTAACGGACTGAGATATAACGTGTTTGAGACCGAGGAATTAAGCCCCTTTCCAGGAAGATCTGCCAAGGCAGATGAGTGGTAGGTCCTGCACTGAATAAGCTGCAGAAGCAGAAATGAACAAGCCAGAGGACTGCAGGCACCTGCCACAGGTTAGATGAAAAGGAGTAAGGAGGTGAAATTCTCAAAGTTTAACACACTATGCCATAAAAATTTAAGTAATTCTAGAATTCATTTTACTCAGCCTTACTTATAGTGAATTCAAACGTTCAATGACAGATTAAAATTCTCACACAATAGACACAGAAACCAAAAATAAAAAAAGACACTGTAACAAATGAAGTTTTATATTTTACTAGCTGAGTTGCACTGAAAAGACAACATATGCTTGAATAAAGCATGCCTTAACAATAAGTTAAAATAATAGTATTATCATCATTCATGTTTTTGTAGTTTTTGAGCCTGGAAAAAAGAGAAAAATCTCCACAAAACAATAAAGGAATGTTAACCATAGCTGCAGTTTTAATAAAGTACATATATGTACATATATGTATATATGTATATACATGATACAGCTGTATGTACCTGATATATATATGTATATATATATATATACATATATATGTATATGTATATATATATGTATATATATATATATATATATATATTGTTTCTTTATATAAGTCAAAGGTTTCTCACCATTTTTAGAGAACTAAACCTATGTACCTAAAAACCGGTACAAAGAAAGAACAAGAGTATCACTCATGAGCAAAAATGACAAAAATGTCCATTTGAGGAGAAATTTCAGTTTTTATTAGTAGCTCATATTCTACACACTGACCTTGAAAGCTGGGTCTTTGTGGTTACATTTCACATGTAAGAAATCTGAGCTCTGTTTAATTTGCTCTCAGAGTTGGCATTTAAACTCATATTTCTGTAATCACACTAGCTGAGTATTCTCTTTTACTTACTTTAATAATCTCCAATAAGTTGATGTTTCATTTAAAACATTATTTAATTTAATAATAATTACAAGTTTTTAAGTGAACAATATACTTTTTACCTCTCTCAAATGAATTTTTACATGAAAAGTGATAGAAATGTTTTTAAACGTTCTCAAAAATATTTCTAATGATGTTAGGAAACATAATGATTAAAATTGCTTTGAGGTACATTTTTGTTGTCTGTTTACCTTCCCAACAGCTCTGTCTCTTTCCAAGGAGGTCAGCATTTTCTCCTTGAGTAAAGTGTGGTGCTTCTCATGTAAGACCCTAATAGTGGGCTCATAAGATGCATAATGTAACTTCAACCTATAAAAAAAATGCAATAGAATGTCAAATGGAAAAAGTTCAATCAGTAGTTGCTGCCTAATATCTAAAATTTCTCTCAATCATTTTTTTATTTTTTGGCTCAGAAATAAAAATTAATAACCTCATCAAGATCAACACACTACAGCTTGAGAGGTATTACTCAGCAGAGAACTTGTATTGCACCCTGGACGTGGTGGGTGAAGTGTGGGAAAGGGAAATTAAATTTGCCATAACTGGTTTCCTATTTCTGGGTTCCACTTCTGGCTTTGTTCAAGTATGTAGTCAAAAGATTGCTGATATTCTTTGAGATTAAAAAATTGCAGTTCCTTTACTCAATTTAACAACAATCTTGAAAAAGACAAGGGCCACACACAATGTATGATTAAACAAGAAGTGTTAGTTACACCAGAATTAAAAGTGGTCTGGTATCTCACAGGAGGTGGTTCAACTCAACAGAAGATATCAACCTTTAAAATCTGTTTTATCTAAAAATACCTTCAAATATTTTTGTTCAAGTACAATTTACATTTTTAAAATACACAGATTTTAAATGTCACACTTGAAGGTTTGAGAAACATGTATATTTTACGGCTCACACTGTTATCAAAATACAAGGTATTTCTAACATCCCAGAAGATTCTGGAAAGTCATGTAGTTTGTATGGTAGAAGTATTCTCTTCAGAAACTGATTTTGCACAGGTTTTTTTTAATTGTTCCTTAGTGTGCTACATATTGTTATCTACACTTCATTTCTTTCTGTCATGAGTATCATTCCCTTATATGTACATTCAACAATGTGCTTATCTAATATCTTTCTGTGAAGGTCTCAGTTTGGGCTTGAACATTTTTATAAAATTCATTTAGGGCATTTTTGGTCGTATATCTTCATTCATTTTAAATACACAGGAGTTAAATGACCAGGTCATAATTTATATTTCCAATAGCAATACACAAAAGTTGTGGCTACTCCTTGATAACATTAGTAGATCATTAGCCTAACTAAAATTTATTGATTTTATTATCCATTTTATGAATTATATGATATTTGCAAATAACCAATATCTTTGTTCTTTTTCTTAGGTTTACTCATTTGTTAGTTTATTGACTTCACCACTTATTTTTATTTGATTTTTTTTCTTTCTTTAAAAAAATCTGTTCTTGTTTAAGAATTTAGAAGATGAAGATAGTATCATTGATTTTAAAATTTTCTCTTTTCTAACATAAGCATTTGAAGCTATCAGTTCACTTTAAGGTCCTTTGGCTGTATCCCACAGATTTTGGTATGTTGCATCTTCAGGCATCCAGTTTAAAATATTTTCTAATCTCCTTAACTCAAGACAAAACTAAATGTTATTTAGTTTCCAAATATTGGGTAAACTTCCATAGATCTTTTTGTTACTAATCACAAATTTAATTGTTTGTAGTCAAAAATTGTTTGTATGACATCAATCCTTGAGATTTACAGAAGCTTCTTTGATGGCTGATATACATTATGATATATTATGAGGTAAATATTCCATGTACACTGGAAAGTCCAAAACAGAATTCAAGGAATATCGATTATGCTAATTGATTGTGTTGGGCTATAAACAGAGCATTCCCATTTATATTTCCTAATAATTACTAAAAGAAGAGGGTAAAACTCCAATTATAATTGTAGAAATGTCTGATTTTCCTTAGAATTTTATCAGCTTTTGTTTCAAGGATTTGAAAATCTTAGAATTTAAAACTAGATGAACAATAACTCATTGACCTTGAAGCATTTTCTGTTAACCACTAATTTAACGCTCTAACCAGACTCCCATGTCTGAGATAAATGACTGACGCAGCTTAAGAACTGGTCACCCAGGCCTGAAATACCAATGCTTGGGAGGCTGACGCAGGAGCCACAAGCTCAAGGTCGGTCTAGACCACGTACTGAGTGCAAGGCCAGCCTGAACTACACAGCAAGGCCTGTCTCTATAAAGAAAACCAAACCAAATCCAACAAAAACAAGCATGCTCAGAAACTATATCAGATCTCTGGCTACGAAAACCTGTTTTACTGGTCCTGATTTGCAGGTCAAAAAACAAAGGGCATTTAAAAGTTTTTTTTAATTATAAATATATTTAAACAGCTGTTTTCAGTGGCTATTGGGATAACTCTGAGTTGTGTCCTACACTGTGCTCCAGAGTACCCCAGTACCACTGAACTGTAATTGCCCAGATATAATAAACTTTATTATCAAAAAAAAGAAAGAAAAGAAGAAAAGAACTGGAACAAAGCATAGCCAGAGCTCACCACACTGGAAATAAATGCCTGCAACTGTCTTCATAGAGATCCGTATAGGAAGGACCCTACAGCGTCTGTTATGACAGCCTCAATTCTTCTGCAAAATTATCTATGGCCATTTACATGAGTACCTTCACAATGCAGAAGATATTCTAACAGGTTAACAATGGTATATAGAAAACTAAGGCAACTTCAAGACCGCTGTGCTAGAATGGGATCTACAGGGACCTGGTAAAAAGAGGGTTTGGGCTAAAGTCTGGCTCCAAGTTAGCTCACTAGCCCGAGCACTTGTTCAGCGATGAATTTCAGTGCTTATGAATAAGCCGTTTGAATTGACAGCAATTGGCACAACCGAGCAGAATGAGGAAGGGCAGTCCCAGGCTCTTCTGGGACTCCATACACAAATAAGAGACCACTTGATATTGTCCCCAGTTTTGTTCTTTGCTTCCAACCTCTTTTTCAGGGGCTCTCATTAACTTCTTTTCAGCTTTTTATCCCTTTATGGCTCAGTTTGAGTATTTCTTATTTTCTTATCTTTATGGCTACTGATCATTCTGCTGGCAATGTCCAATGTGCCAATACTAATTAATGAGTTTTTCATAGGTCATTTTACAGTTTCATTTTGCTTTTGAAATTTCCCATCTGTTCACTTATTATAGTCACCCAACTGTAAGCATCTCATAATAGCTGATTTAAAGCCATTGTCTTATAATTCTATTATTTTTTTCATCTCAGATTCTGTTTCTAGAGTACACCAAAAAATGCATCAGAAAAAGCAAAATTTGTAGAAGCACAAGAGGTGCCCAAACTGATGGTCATTACCTTCCAAACATTTATCAGAATGGCAAACTGCTGAAGTGTTTATTATCTATTTTTGGTGGACTAGGTATTTTTTTCCTGTTTATAGGACATTTTCTTGATCATATATATATATATATATATATATATATACAAGTACACATAAATATGCACATATACATATACATAAATATGTACATAAATAAGTCACTTATCTATTTATCGTATGCTGAACATACTAGAATGTTTGCTATCTTCCTTTAAAGATTTTTTTGGCACTTAATAAGTACTTGTGGATCAGCTTGATCTTTTCAAAGTTGACACTGTAGATTTCAGGGGACAAATCTGAAATAGCTTTCGTTCTTGGATGGGACTCACTTTGCTCTCATGGCATGGTTTACGACAGGTCTCACCTTAGTGTTCAGCGTATTCAGTAAGATTCCTGCTACAATGGATCCAAACTCTAAAGACTCCTCCTGTATCTCTCAGCATTGCATAATCTCTAGAATCTCTACTTTTCTCACTTCCAAAGGACTGTTCTCTTGTTTTATGCTTCCACAAGTTAGTTACTCGGGAAAAGACTAACGTGAGCCAGTACAGATATTTCTTGAGTCCTTTTTTTCAGGCACATCACACTGTCCTGCAGTCTGCAGTGTGGACCTCTGGTCCTCAGCTCAGCACAACCACTGTTCTCTGTGTTACATCTTGCCACATTATAGCTAACAAAAGTGTTTTTAGGAAGAAATTTGGGGCTTTTGTGCTGTTCACCTTGTAGGTTTCTCTTCTCTTAAATATCACAACTCCCACTTTGCCAGTCTTCCCACATCTAAAACAATTGCCTCACATGTGCTGTGTCCAGTTGTTATTCCCTGTAGTTGTAGAACATGTCTAGGAACAAGGTATGGGGCTAGTTCTATACCAGTAATTCTGACATGATCCAAACAGAATCCTCCAATACTCCGCAAGGAAGTTTTATTTTTCCAGTTAAAATACTAAAACAGTAGTCATTTTGTACAGTAATCATTTTCATAAAATATTCATAAAAGTGAGTTTTAGAAATCACATTAATGATTTAATCAATGACAGCAATAAAACTTATAATGTATATATTTTTAATGTGCATCAATTCAACTATACTCAAATAAGACCCAGTGATAAATATGATGTATAGTAGTATGCACAATTCTGTCCTCCATTCATCTTAACCTGCTTAGCATGTATGCATTTTATTATATAGTATACACATCCTTAAATATTACACACTAATAGACATATCCAGGTACAGAATTTTAGACACAAAACCATATATGTTGTAATATATGGATACCTGAAGAATTTTGAAGGAAAGTATTGGTAACAAAATTTTTCTTTATTTACTAACTTACGCATGAGATTTGGGTTAACTAGCCTCTGTCCAAATAATTAGCAACACAGAATATTGCAGGAATACAACAAGGAAACAACACGCAGATAAGCTGTTTAATCAATTTGCAAGTGCATGCCTGTTTTATGTTCTCTAAGTAGTTCATGATTTATCTGTTTGTAATTTCTACATTTTGTAACAACAGCTCGAAATAAGTATATTCATGAGAAGATACTTAGCATAAAGGAAAAATGCTGTTAAAAAACGATCATCAAAGTAGCTGAGAACATCACTGAAAAAACAAGGTCAACTTTTAAAAGGTTAAGAAAAAGGAACTGTGTATATACAGTTGTGGTATTTAGGAATATATGACACAGTGAACTCGAAATGTAGCTCAGCCAGGCATCAAAGCCAAGTTACTGTACAACTCATTTATTATGCAATGGTATCATTACTAGAAAAAGTGTTCACTAGTGACTGACTGACTAGGGTTTTGGGGATTCTGGTGGCATTACTGAACGCTTTTTAGTTCTGTAGAAAATGCACATTGGTTATTCACCTAGAGGTTAGAACTAGACATTATTCCTAAAGATTAAATGAGTAAGTAATGGTTATCTAAATATATTCCAAGTATAGCTATATCACCAGGTAATTTGGTTTTAATGCCAAGGCTTCTGAGATAACAAAACATGAAAAAATAATATGAAATGATGCATTTCATATGAAATAATTATAAATGATATTTTATATGAAATTAATTATAAAAATATTCCTTTTAAACATATTTGGATATTTCTCAGGTTTGATATATTTTGAGATATAATACCTGGTGGATACTGTACTGGATGGCACAGATTAGAATATTTATGTCATCATAGAAATTTCTATGATACAACGCTGCCCTAAAGCAAACAAGTGAGCATTTTATTACAGGACTGCAAAATTCATATCTTGTTTCTTGGAGGAAGGAAGAGAAAGAAGCAATGTTAAGTAAATCTGATTAATGTTTTCAAAATAATTTCTTGAAGTTGATTATAAATTCAGGTTTGGTCAAGATATGCTTCTTACCCCCTTGAAAGACACATCTGAACTCAGCTGCATGTGCTTACAATTTGATGAACATACCACCCCTCTGTGACGTGGTGACTGCATAGGACAGATCTTCTGCCGAAGCACGATGGGGACTTCGCTCTCCGACCGTTTATTCTCATTTACACTTCAGACTATTTCATTGTATTTGTGTTTAACTCCTCCCTCAGCACACACCCCAACAGAGTAGGAGTCTTTGACACTAAAGTCTAAATTTAGACATCCTTGTGTTTCAAACATATACTACAGTATCTGCATATACTAAATGCTCAATAAAAGCTGAAGATATAACTTTCTCTAAAACTCTGTCATAAATTACGTAACCTTACTTATATAATTCCTAAGTAAATATACCAAAAAATGAGCAGCTTACTCTTTCAGGTCATTAATTAACTTGTTTTTTTCTTGGATGACTCTCTTATGATGCATTCGATGAAAATCACGTTCTTTCTGAGTTTTCAGCAGATCTTCTCTAGCCTTGCTGAAAAAATTAGCAATAATAACAGCTTTAAGAATTATTGCTACACTCTTTCTGAAAAAAATATTTAGTTTTAAGTTCAAATTCAGTACTGAGTAATTCAAAAGACTTGAAAGATAAACGTAAATCTCAGGAAGGATCACATCCAACATAATTTGTACGAGATCATAATGTGTAAGTAGGTGGGAATAAAAGAACAAAAACACTGTGGAAATTCCTCAAAAAAACTAGTATTAGCAGTCCCATTCAATCCAGCTATTTCCCTTCTGGATATATTCCCAGAAGAATTGGAAAAATCATACCACAGCAATATGTGTGCACCTACATTTATAGCAACAAAATTTGTAATAGCTAAATCTTGGAAACAACCCAAATGCTCATTAACCGTAGTATGGAGAAAATGACATGGTATTTTTATACAATACAGTACAATCCAGCTCTAAAGAAGAATAAACCTGAGGCTATGGTTAAATTGTGTCTGGGATGTGGGTGAAGAAGTTCAAGGAATGGGACTGGGCTTGCAGATGCCGATGGGCACCTGTTGGTCACTGTGGTTTCTTCTTGTAAGTTAAATTATAGGTGGTACAGGAGGAAAAACTCAGATCCACTCTTCCAAGGTTCCTTCTGTCTCCTCTTCCTTTCAATCGTTTTTTGAATTGACCTGATCAGGTTCTGTCCTAGATCCCCAATCTCCCAAATGAGTGTAGGGGGGAAGATAAATAAAAAGAGGCAAATTGTATGATTTTTAGGGCTCCAGGAGTGTCAAACCCCTTTAATTAAGCTCGAGGCTTCCAGGGTAAAGACAAAGGATTCTCTGGATCAGTCCACTTATATTAGGACCAACGACAAAGGGCAGAGAAACTGAGGAAAGCGCAGGCAATGAGCAGGACCTTGGGAGTCACTTCAAAGACATCTCCAAGTCATGAATCAAGTTAATTCAGTAGCACTGTCTTATCATGAAGACCTGGTACAAGTGAGACTGTAGGAGTAACTGTTGCAGCTGCAGTCTCTACCTTGTTATTGGGGCTGGAGCCAGAGTGTCCACAGCTGTGGCCTTATCTTGCCCTTTGAGGTATCTCTGGCCTCACAGGCCACTACAGGCCTCAGCCAGGACCAGTGATTCATAGAGGTTCACTTACTATAAATCAGCTCCCATCGCCAGGCAAGGGACGGAGGCCTGGGAGAGACTCACAGATAAACATAGAAAGCCAATTAGTAAAATCTAAATCCTGCTCAGAGCTCCTTCGCTTTGTAGTGGTCTCCAACATGACCTCTACTGTTCTTTGTTTTACTGATACATTTTTAATTTTCATCACATGTGAATAACAATGCCCAAGTAACACGATCCTCTTGGCTTACTTCCTGCATGTAAGCAACTTGATTTTCATATCAGCAATCTTGTAGGCACAAAAAATTGCCGATTCAAGTATTTTCCTTCAAAAAACAAAATAACTTAAGGAGTACAGCAATGATAAAAATGAATTTGAAAAATGACAGTTATCCTGGTAATTCAGGACATTCGCTAAACTTTTCACACTATTTCCAATTTCCTTTAAGTTTCTCAAAAACTTAAGAATTATCATAACTTTTTTTACTTGCCATTTTACTAACACCACAAAAAAAAAAAAAAAAATCAAGATGCTAACTTCTGGAGACAGACTTTTGTAATGGCTGCTGCATATCCATGGCCTGCAATGACCTTAATGTAAACAGTATCAAAGATTTAGCTTCATCATCTGTGCACACACTTTACTAAAAGAAAATAATTAAGCTGGGCACAGAGGTGCATCCTACAGATCCAGCATTCTGGAAGCCTGAGGCAGGAGGATCACAAGTTCAAGCTCAGCCTGGGAAATTTGGTGACTTCGCGGGACCCTGTCTCAAAATAAAAAAAGTTTTGCACCCTTGTGTGTATGCTGGGGACAGAACTCAGCGTGAAACCCCTGTGTGGAACTTCCTCGTACAGCAGAGGAAGGAAGAAGGGAGGGAGGGAAGGTGGAAAAAGAGGTAATTTCTTCAAAAGCCTACCATTGGCATTTTACTGTTTTCAAGCTGATTGCAATTTAACAAGTCTTTCAAGATGATATTTCTAGCAAAACAATGACCCATAAATAAAAAACCATTTATGTTCATGCTTTTACTGATTTAAATCCCAGTTAGAAATCTTCCAACTACTGGTTCAGGAATATCTTTGGAGTGAATTAGAGTGGATTACTCAGCGCGGTTGTTTGATGTTGACACTCTTTTCTTTACACATTTTTAACCTACACCACGAGGGTCGGATGTGATACACAGTGAACTACTCCTGTCACTTCTCTACTTAATATTATGATTCATTTTCAAAATAATATTGAACATGAGGTTGTATAAAGATCTAAACATCTTATCATTTTTATTTGGTTTGATATTATACTGCTTCTGGCCAAGAAAACTTTGTTGTAAAAATAAAAATAACAGCAATTTTCCTTCAAATATGCAGTTTATAGTTAAGAGTAATGTATTTACTATCAACAGTTTAGAATCGTTTTAATCTCTACCTAATTTTTTAAAAAAGTATATAAATACTGTCTAATTTTCAGATATGAACAGATTAAGGATATAATGTTTTCAGTCCAGATAATTTTGAGATTCTTCAGAAAAAGTCCCTTATATTTGCGACAACTCTTTTTCCCATCAGATGATTCTAAATTCTTTGTTATTTGCCAGCTTTTACCAATGCAAACTGCTAGTTCTAACCTTTTATCACTATTGATAATTTAAAAACTCATTTAATTATTAGGTTTAAAACTTAAAGATTTTCATTTCTAATTAAGATGTAGAAATCTGCAAAGAACACTATCTCACTCTTAACAACACAAAAAGATACAGAGATTAAAAATTCGATTTTCCTTGAAATTATCAAAGAGCTGAATGACAAGGCAAATAAATAACACATAATCAAAATACAGTCATGTCAGAATACAAACTATGGCCAGGCAAAGGAAAAGAACATCAGACATCAGCTAAAATTTTAAGTACTGAGTAATATCAAGTGGGGATTAGCACAGTGGACTGAAAAAGCTGAGGAGCATGAATTCATGTACAAGGCCCACCCCCAAGTGTGCAGGAGAAAGAATGGTGCAGGTCTGAGGACCAGCGAGAGACTCCTAACAGTGAGGGCCCACTGCAGATTTCCAGGGTTAATGGTAGGACGGATCCAAAGTGCCACTTCCTTCCTACACCGTAAGGGATGGTAAAAAACAGGGCAAAGAAAAACTTCTACCATTGATGGCTGAACAGGAAACCACCTTGGCCTAAATTTTATCACACCAGGCAGAAGTCTCTGACTCCCGGGATAAACAGACAAGATTTCCAGCAAGACAACTATACATACAGAGTAAGAGGAAAGAATGCTAAAAAATGCTGAAAAATCCTAACCCTCAAGAGAAAGCACATGGAAGGCCTTCCCCAGATTGAAGAATGACCATAAAAGAAAGTCTCTGCTACCTCCATGAATCCCCAAAGTAGTAAATTGAGGGCATTTTAAGAAGAATGAACAGAAAAGTAAGTGCTTGTGTTGGTATTTTGTTGTAAAAACAAAGAACCTTGCCTAAATTCACTTAATTAGAAGACTATTTTCTATTAGAAACACAGACAAAAGGTACAGAATAAACTGTTACCAAAAAGAATAATGAAAACACTTTAAAGAAAGAATAATGCATGACATCTTATAGCAATGCTTTTAAATTTTAAAAGATTTCCATAGAACATACTGATAGTCATCAAATTACAGCTTTATAGTACAAAGTTAAGTGAAAGTTTATCTCAAAAATGATACCATACATAAAAATATACTAGTAAGCCTCCAGAATATCAGCTAATAAGTCACACTGCTTCAATAGAGTATTTCCAGCCTGGTAAAAAGATCATATTTAATCTAGACCATCCTTCATAGTGTGACCTTGGGATCCTAGGCAATATATGTATACACCAGATTTAGCACCTGCAAAATGGCTCGACTGGAACTCAAAGTTTATTCACTTAACTATTTCAGTAAAATGGCTTACATGATACTGATAATCACTACCACCATTAACCTGACATTACTATTACTAACTAGTATAACGTAAGAGACATTCAGTTCCTCTAACAAATTTGCCTTCCTAAAATAAAGGGTGTAGCAATAAGTAACTAAGTCTCCCCTAGTGGACCAAAAAATATTAGAGTGCATTATCAGTAATATTGTACATTTTTAATATAAAAAAATTTCTGAGCACCTCAAGTCTACTAAAAGTATCTTATTTCAACATCTTGATGGACATATAAACATGCATGTAATTTGTTTATCTTATCACAAATGTAAACGCACAATAGGTTAAAAAATACTTGAAAATGATGCTTCAAAGTTTCTTAACTAGAACCAGAAATGTGCAGCACTGCATCAGCTCACTTTTTTAATACACATTTAAAAACCTATCTGTGCTCATCCCAGGAAAGAAAGCATAGGAATTGATTGAAGTATTAGACCTTAAAGTTTTTCTGACCATTAAATTGGTTTTCAGGGACTGGCTTTCTGTTTGCACAAATGAAGTCTACTCTGTAAAAAAATTTAAATTCATTTCATGGTGATGCTTCTCCTATTATGACCTTCCTGCTGCTCATCTGCTTAAGAAAAGGAAAATAAAAGTTGTATTAAAGAATGATTTAAAATATTCAAACAAGCAATTAATGGTTTAAACTATAGAGTATTTTCTCATTACATTATTACAACATTTTTGTGTTTTAAAAAAACTTTAATACAGCAAAAAATCAAGATTCTGTCACAAGTAAAAAGAAATGTTATTCAGTGAAACGTTCTCTTTAAATTTGTGTATCATAAGGAATACAATTTACACAGGCTCTGTCTTAACAAGAGGATGTAATGACTACCCCATTTCGGAAAACCAGCACACTAAAATCTATAATTCAAGTATGTAATATTAAAATACACATATTCTTATGTTATGAAACTCCATTTTAACATA